CATGCAGCGGGTTTAGGGTTTAGGGTTTAGGGTTTCAGGCAAGGGAGTTGGTATGGTTTCTGTCACCGAGGAGCTGGTTGGCGCAAGCGCTGCTCAGCCCTAAACCCTACTTGGAGGATCATGGGACTTAGTAAGTAAGGTTATAAGTCCCTTAATTGGGGTTATAAGTATAGTTACCTTATTTATAACCCATGATCCTTTAAGTAAACCTAAACCCTAAACCCTAAACCCTAAGCCCTAAACCCTAAACCCTAAACCCTACTTACTAAGTCCCATGATCCTTTAAGTAAACCCAAATCACCCGAGTCCCTAAGCCTCAAACCCTCCAAAACCCTAAACCGCAAGGGCCTGAGCCATTAGGGTTGAGGGCTGCCTGAGAGTTGAGTCCTAAACCCTAAACCCTAAACCCTAAACCCTAAAGCCGAAAGCCTCAACCCTAAGCCCTAAACCCCAAAGCCTAAAGCCTAAACCCTAAACCCTAAAGCCTAAACCCTAAACCCTAAAGTCTAAAGCCTGAAGTCGAAGGCAGGGGCTCTTTCTCTTCGACCTGACCGACCGGAGCTCCTTTGATCAGGCGGGGCATGCATAGCCCGAAGGTCTCGCGGTTTAGGGTTTGGGGTGTAGGGTTTAGGGTGTAGGGTTCAGGGTTCTAGAGATTGCTGAACCTTCAACTTGTCTTACCCCTGACCTTATCATACAAATAGGTTTTAGGGTTTAGGGTTTAGGGTTTAGGGTTTAGGGGGATAATATAGGGGCCTTCATACTTAGAATAGGGTTTTGCGGCCCATGCTACTATTACTAATATAAAGAACCCACCAACATAGTATTGGTAATTATCTAGGCTCCTACAGTAAGCCTTCTTGGTATTGTTAGTTAACCATTCCTATAGGTATTATTGCCGCTCCGATTTATGATAACTGTCATGTTTCTTCTTGTTTTTGCTGTGAATACAATTAGTCGTAGTAGTAGTAGTAGTAGTAGTAGTAGTAGTAGCAGTAGTAGTAGTAGTAGTAGTAGTAGTAGTAGTAGTCGTGGTGGTGGTGGTGGTGATGGTGGTAGTAAAAGCAGTAGTAGTCGTATCCTGATCATGTTAAAGACTCGTCGATGCTAAGAAGACGGGAGACAGGCGACAGGGCCAGCGTGCTCTGTCTCCCTCTCCGTCTTTCTCTTCCTTTGTCTCTCCCTTCTTGCCCTTTTGCCATGTCATGCCGAGCACATCAGAGTTCATAGCTTACCCTAAACCCTAAACCCTAAACCCTAAACCCTAAACCCTAAACCCTAAACCCTAAACCCTAAACCCTAAACCCTTTCTGAACCTCTCGCGTCTTTGGGGTCCCAGGGGCGGCGTCCTTAAGCTTCGACTCAAGGTCCAAAGCACCCCGGATCCAGGGTTCGGTTTAGGGTTTAGGGTTTAGGGTTTAGGGTTTAGGGTTTAGGGTTTAGGGTTTAGGTTTCGGGTTTAGGGTACGGGAGTTATCCTTCGGAGCTACGGCTTGAGTTCTGAGTCCTCAAAACTGAAGCTTCGGACCGGGGCCCTGGATCCCGAATCCCTCGCCATATGCGAGGCCCAAAACCACAAGAAGTCTTGAACCCCAAAACCCGCAATCCGAGTCCCGAAAAATCAACAGGAGCTTACAGATTCCCGAAATGAACAGGAGCTTTCAGATTCTGCCCTAAACCCTAAACCCTAAACCCTAAAACAAACCTAGTTTGGTGAAGCCTGACCCTCCTGTCCGCGAAGCTCCGCCGCTATCTGGCTTCCGACGACCTGGGGCAGCAGACGCGCGTGCTGGTCGGCAACAAGCGCCTGGGTCGCTTGAAACAGGATTTAGGGTTTAGGGTTTAGGGATTGTAGAAGAGTTTAGGCCTTAGGATTTAGAGTGTGGTTTATTTTTCGTCTGGCATCTACTTGGAGGATCATGGGACTTAGTAAGTAAGGTTATAAGTCCCTTAATTGGGGCTATAAGTATAGTTACCCTAATTATAACCCTACTTACTAAGTCCCATGATCCTTGAAGTAGGGGGCTCTGGGTCAACGTTTTTGGGTTTATTCGGAAGCAGGAGGAAAGCTCTCCATAGTCCCAACGTCTCCTTTTTTCAAGAGCCCACCCTACACCCGCAAGCATGAGCCCGAAAGGCCCAAAAGGCCTTTTAGTTCAGCGCTTGGCCCTAAAGGCCCAGCAGCCTTAGAGGGCGTAGGGCGGCCCCAGAGTCCTTGCAACACCCTACGTACGGCTTAGGGTTTAGGGTTGGTACACAGATCGGTAGTTCTAAGTGCGGTTATAAGTCCTTTCATATCCGCTAGCTGGTACCCTATCATGAACCCCCAAGAACCCCTAATCTGTGAGCCGTTGAGCGCAGATTCCTTGATGATGCTGCTTCAGGTCTTTTGCGCGCAGTGAAGCTTTTGAATGTTGTTTTTGTGTGTTCTCAGCGTGAAGTGTGAGCATCAGTCCTTTCCAATGTCAATCCGGTTACATGTCACGAACTAGTTTACTCTAACAGTCCAGTACTCTGACCACCTTGTAATGCATGCTCGCCCTGGCAAAGTGGGAAGCAACAAAACCCTTTACGATCTTCGCCTGGCTGTGCCTAGTCGTAAGTACTGAAACCCGAAAGCGCTTTAAACCCCTAGCCCTAAACCCTAGACCCTTAAACCCCGAAGCCCGAAACCCTTAAACCCCCAAGCCCTAAACCCTTAAACCCTTAAGCCCTAAAGCCTCAAGCCTAAATCCTTTCTTTAACCCTGAAGCTCTACGATATAGGGGCCTAAATAGGGACCAATGCTATTTCGAGGGTTCCTTGTTAGAAGCATAAGACAGTAAACCCCAGAACCCTATTCAAAGCGTTGAGGCCCCTAACATAGAGCCCTATTATAGATCCCTTATAGAGCCCTTTAGGAATCCCTTTAAAGAAGGAACCCCCAAAACCCTATTTCAAAGCATTCAGGCCTCTATAACCACCCTTAAACCCTAAAACCCTAAACCCTAAACCCTAAAAGCCCTAAAACCATTAAGGCCTCTATAACCCGAAACCCTATTCTAAGTAGTAAGGCCTCCATAACCCAAAAACGCCAAGAAGGGTCGACCTCCTCGACCGGCGCGTGGTCACGCGGGAGGAAGCGCAGAGATTTTCTGACCAGGCGGAGGGGAGTGGGGTTTTTTTTAGGGGTTTCAGGGTTTAGGGTGTTAGGGTTTAAGGGTGGTTCAGAGCCCCGAGCCTAGGACATTTTCAGGTGGGTAGTTACTGTTTTGGGAGCCTTATAGAAGGTGTATATATGTACCTGTAGTGTCCTTTAACCCGAGGCAGAGGATGATTGTTGTTATGTAGAGATGAATACTCTTTTTTCTACGGCAACACAAGTACTCTACTGCTGCTGCTGCTGGAGATGTGAATCGAATGTGGCATTCTAAAATACACAGCTACACTTAACCGTTAACCTAAGCCCTTAACCGTAAACTGCAAACCCCAAGCCCCAGAACCCTGACTGCCAATATGCATCGTGGGTTCGTTCCAGCTAGGCGGGAGGCAAAAACATATTCGCATCATGACCATCGTCCTGAGCCTGACCATTGCTGGGCTAAAACTCGGCTGCGCCCGCGCTTACGCTGCGCTTGACGCCGAAGCCCACATGTCGGCAAAGGTTCATGATGTCCTCTCTATAGAGTCATGCAGTTTGCTGCAACAGAACAAGAGACCCGACCGTTTGAAGAGCTTGAGATGCGACCCGAACTCGGCAACCCTGAACCCCAAAAGACCCTCACAGCTGCGTTCTGACACCCACCTCAACGTGAGGTGGGCGCAGCTTATTTCGAGACGTCGGCCACCGAGGGCACTGGCATCGAGGACTTTGTCATCGAGATTGTATATATGTATATACACGGACATACATACATACATACAT